CACACTGTTCTTGTGTTTAAACCCCTTATGAGAGCGATTTTTGCATAATAGCTCCCCTTTAATATTAAAGATCAACACACAATGAATGCGAATGCAAATGAGCCGAGAGAACACTGCTGGGTCAAATATTCACTGATCTGATGACCCTGATAAAACTCTGCAGATGCAAACATGTGATACATGTGAAACAAACACAACGCCTGTGAAAGGAAACGGAAAACCTATATAAAAAGACAGTGAATATAATAGGCAAAAATGTTGAATATAGCATAAAATTTTTTACTAAATTCACCTTTTCCACTGTATTGCTTAAAATAAGCAAATAAACTAAATAATTGACTTTACATTAAAAAGTGAGTAAACCTGTTGCCTTAAAATCAAGCATAATTATAAAAAATTAAGTTAAATCAACTTAGTTACAAGTTACAATGGGTTTACTTCGTTTTTTAAGTCATCTTGTAGCTTTTAAAGGGGACCTATTATGCCCCCTACTACAAGATTTAAAATAAGTCTCTGATGTCCTTAGAGTATTTGTGTGAAGTTTCTGCTCAAAATACCACACAAATAATGTTTTATAACTCTATAAAGTTGCCCATTTTAGGCTTTGATCTAAATTGTGCCGTTTTAGTGACTGTCGCTTTAAATTCTAATGAGATTGTGCTCTTTTCAACAGAGGGGGGGGCTTAAATGCGTTTAGCTGCGTCCCAAATCGCATATGTATGCACTATTCTACGCCATTTTGTAGTGTAAATAGTGTAAGTAGTGCGTTCACACTGAAAACTCTAAAAATAATAAGTGCACTTTAATTACCCGGATGATGCACTCAATCAGCCGCTAAAATGAAGTGTGTAATGATGGACACTACACACACTCAATGACCGCAGGTTTGCTTACGTAGCGAAAGGGGCGGAGCTATCGGGCGCACATGTTGGATAACTTTATTTATTTTGGATAGTGAAAGCAAAATTCTCCTACAAGAGTGATTATAGCACCTCCCGATGGTGAATGCGGCAATACTCACGTCAGGTATTATTTGATAATTCAGTCGTTTATTTCACTGATTTGGCGACCATCAAACGTCATCAGGGAAACGGTTTGAATTTCCGCATAGTAAAAAAACATTAATGTGCCATTTAGGACGAGACTACATACATATACTATGCTGTTGAGTGTGTAAGTGCATAAGTACATAGTGCATGAGTGCATAGTGTATAGTGTGCCATTTGGGACGCAGCTTATGTGTCAGCATAGTGGCAGATTCAAAAACAAAACTATGATAATGAGGAAGAGATGGTCACTAGTGGGCGGGGCTTTTCACCTCTGATGACACGTATAAAGGGAGAATGTTTTTGCAGACTGTTTTTATCAAGTGTGATTAGAAAAAAATAAAATGAATTATTTTACCATTACAGACTGACTATATTCACACACTGCTGCCACACAACTGTTTAAACCCCTTAAAAAATCTCTTTAATAATAAAGACCAACACACAATGCATGAGAATGTAAATGCGCTTAGAGAACACTGCTGGGTCAAACATTCACTGATGACCCTGATACAACAGCTGATAAAACTGCAGATGCAAACATGTGATGCATGTGAAACAAACACAACGCCTGTGAAAAGACACTGAGAACCTATACAAGATGTAAAATAAGTCTCTGATGTCTCTAGAGTGTGTGTGTGTGTGTGTGTGTGTGTGTGTGTGTGTGTGTGTGTGTGTGTGTGTGTGTGTGTGTGTGTGTGTGTGTGTGTGTGAAGTTTCTGCTCAAAATACCACACAAAGTGAAGTTTCATAAACTAATTTCGAGAGGAGCACGTGATAGGATTGAGCACTGCTGGCCACTCATCCGTAATCAGTCACAATCCAATCAGAGTGATCCTAGCTCACTATAAATGGATCATTTTCTCCTTACTGCTCTATCTTCGTTTTGGAAGAATCCCCCCTTCCACCCCCTCTCCTCCTTTTCCCCCCTTTTTTCCAAAAGGGGAGCTTTCGAGACCTACCTGATCTCGGATCCCCTGATATGCTTATTGACCAGGCGGGAGCCCTGAGCTCAAATATCTTCGAGCTCAGGTTTCTCTCCGGGGACAGCATGCCAAACCTGCTTTAAATGCCAAGCATATCTAAGTGGGAACTCTTGAATAATGTTTTATAAAGCTGCCCATTTTAGGCTTTAATCCTAACTGTACCGTTTCGGTGACTGTCGCTTTAAATTCTAATAAAACTAGCTTTTTTTAAAGAGGGCGGGGCTTAAATGCCTATGTGTCAGCATAGTGGCAGATTTAAAAACAAAACTATGCTAATGAGGAAGAGACGGTCACAAGTGGGCGGGGCTTTTCTCCTCTGATGACTGGTACAAAGGGAGAATGTCAAAGTGTTTCTGCAGACTGTTTTATCAAGTGTGATTAAAAAAAATAAAGTTAATTAATTTTAGCATCACAGACTGACTATATTCACACACTGTTCTCGCACCTGTGTTTAAACCCCTTATAGAAGTGCTTTTTGCATAATAGCTCAAGGCAACCTAATGGAAATGGATGAAAATGGTAAACACTAGGACAAAAAATACTGATAAAATTTGTCATCACTTTGCAAAGAACTTAAATCTAATGGAAACATGAACGTGTTTTAATTTTAAACAATGACGACTAAATCAAGATTAAAATGTTACCAACATATTGTGCTTTGAGAGACATAATGCATAACATTTCTGTGTCTCGCCTGTGCCTGTAATGCAAAGTGGTACAATATTTCTACTTAAAAACAACTATTATTGTGTGTTCGGAATAACTTTAACTACTAACCACTAAAACAGCTAGAGCTGAGGAGAAAAATAGTTTGAGAGATCGATTCTGCATCAGGTCTGCATTTTTAAAAGCTAGCATAGAGCACTGTCTGTTGTTGTTAAAAACCAGCCTAGAGCACCATCTGCTTTAAAAAACTAGCCTAGAACGCCATCTGTTGTTAAAACTAGCCTAGAGTGGCATCAGCTGTTAAAAACTAGGCCAGAGTGCCATCTGCTGCTTAAAATTAGTCTAGAGCAGTGGTTCTCAAAGTGGGGGTCGGGACCCCCAGAGGGGTCGCGGGACAATGAAGGGGGGTCCCCTGGTGATTTCCAAAAATCGATTTATTTTTATTAAACCACAAGATTTACCATATTTTATTCATAACCTACTGAAGAGAAAAATATATATACTATATAGTTACTATAATAGCTTATATTTCTTTTGCAGGGGTGCTCAACCCTGTTCCTGGAGATCTACCCTCCTACAGAGTTTAGCTCCAACCCTGATCAAATACATCTGAATCAATTAATAAGGACCTGAACAGCACTTGATAATTACAGGCAGGGCTGCAACTGAAATCTGCAGAAAGGTAGATTTCCAGGAACAGGGCTGAGCACCCCTGTTTTATTGGATTGTGACCCCTGGGGTACATTATATTAAATACACAGCAATAGCATCAGATGCAGCGGATTGATTTTATAGCACCAGGTTGAACTTTCTGGTCCATTTACAGCACTGTATACATTAAAAAAAAAGAAACGAAGAATAGACTTGGGTCTATTGGTGTGTGTGTGCACCATTGCATGCAAGGTTTCTGTATTTATAAGCACCTCAGAGGATATTGGGGGTCGCGAGTCACTGGCATTGTGATTTTGGAGGTCAGGGGCTGAAAAGTTTGGGAACCCCTGGTCTAGAGCACCGTCTGCTGGTAAAAACTAGTCTAGAGCAGTGGTTCTCAAAGTGGGGGTCGGGACCCCCTGGGGGGTCGCGTAACAATGACAAGGGGTCGCTTGGTGATTTCCAAAACTCAAATAAGTTTTATTAAACTATTTGAATAACCATGGGTCCCACTTTTTATTAAGTGTCCTTAACTACTATGTACTAACATCACAAAATAAATACAATGTACTTACTGTGTTTATAATGTATTTGAGAACACTTGTGATGCTTTTGAGTTGGGATAGAGGTTGGGTTATGGACAGGTTTGGTGGCATGGGTAGGTTTAAGGGTAGGTTAAGGTGTAAGGGATGGTCAACAGTGTATTTACAAATGTAATTACAAAAGTTAATTACAGATGTAATTACATACATGTATTTAATCAAGCATAAGAACACAGTAAATACACGTATTTACACAATAAGTGCATTGTAACAAACTATCAATACCTGTGTAAGTACATATTAGTTAAGGCAACAATATGATGTGGGACCAAACAAAATTATTATTATATTATTATTATCTATTATAAACAAATAAAAATCAGTCATCAGCCTTTACTTTTTATATTATAAATTAATAAATGAATATAAAAAATATATATGGTTAATAGACTGTTGCATTTATGTGTTGTCAATGTGCTTATGTTTATACATGCCTATAGTTGTGTCTACAAGGTTTATATATTTATATAACCACCTTGAAAAATGGGGGTCGCGAGTCACTGACATTGTTAATTTGGGGGTCGCGGGCTGAAAAGTTTGGGAACCCCTGGTCTAGAGTGCCATCTGCTGTCATAAACTAGCCTAGAGCACCCTCTGCTGTTATAAACTAGCCTAGAGTGATGTCTGCTGGTATAATCTAGCCTAGAGTGCCATCAGCTGTTAAAAATTAGTCTAGAGCGCCGTCTGCTGGTAAAAACAAGCCTAGAGCACAGTCTCCTGTTTAAAACTATTCTAGAGCGCCATCCACTGTTAAAAACTATTCTAGAGCGCCATCCACTGTTAAAAACTAGTCTGGAGCGCTGTCTGCTGTTAAAAATTAGCTAAGGGTGCCAGCCGTTATTTAAAAACTAAGCTCAAATAGTTAGAAAATTTTAAACAATTTTCAGAGAATCAATTTTTCAAACATTTTTTTTTTTTTTTGCCACAGCTCTAAAAACATCAACAATAAAACACCTGAATTCAATAATAGAATGCTTCTGAAACATTAAAGATCCTGAACCTTCAGAGTGTCAAAATTGCATAATCAAATATTCAATTTTCATCTCCTGTAAAAACATTCATCTCTGTTTTTAAAAAAATAAACATTTATGATCCTGCAAAAATGCGTCCACGCTCACATGCGCACTCACGCACACACACTAGAGTCCGAGCGGCGTCTCGGCCTGTTCACTCAGCTGCATGGAGAGGTAGTCAGCGGGACGCCTGACGAAGCAAAAAATATGCACAGAATGAGCCATGTTGACATGACATGCTGGGGTTTCATCATCCAGCGTTTTTTTCATGGTGCTATGAGGAATCGCTTGAAAAAACACACAACACAATCTGTCCTCACCTTTTTTTGTAGAAGTAGATAAAGAGAGCAGCACCGAGAGCAAAAAGCAGAAGCGCCACCATTACAAGACCAACCTGAAGCGCCACTGATGACCCCGCTAAACACACAAACACACACCAATATAAACACCAGACTTCTACATGATATAAACAGTCATGTGACATTAACATATGTTAGTGTGTGTATGTGTGTGTTTATATATATATGTGTGTGTGTATATATATATATATATATATATATATATATATATATATATATATATATATATATATATATATATACATACACACACACACACACACACACACACACACATATATATATATATATATGTGTGTGTGTGTGTGTGTGTGGGTGTAATTAGGCACGTGATTACCTCCATGAACCTGTCGCTCATGTGCAGATGAACACTGGAGCGTGTTGTTGTTCAGTGCTTCAGTGATTAGCTCCCTCTGTTGGTCAGAAACGGCAAGAACAGATCCGTGTGCAAACAAATGAGCAGCTTCACAGGACACATTCACATCTAGCAGGAGGAAATCAGTCATTAGCAGCTGCATCTCCAACATGTTAACACCAATAATGAGTCTTAGTATCTTAGTATCTCACCTTTAACATGTAGCCCTGAGATCCCACAGTTACACAACTGCTCCAATAAAACTGCTAATCCATCCTGCGCACAATCTGACAGAGGTAAACAACTCAGTATTATTAGAATAATCACCTATTAAAATGGTCGTTGTGATGTGCTACAAACAATTAAAACATGCTAACCAAATGGTATTCAATTTTAAAATGATATTAAAAATTATCCTAACATGCTAATTCAAACAACTCTGTTATGCTCCTCATATATTTTATGTACACCCCTGGCATTGTTCTGTATATGTAGTTCTTGAATTAATAATAATAACAATAATAATAATAAAACATCCTTATTCAAACTCCCCATACTAAACATCACAGCAACACATTGCTCATACTAGCCATGTGCTATGCACAATAGAAACATGCTAGCAGCATTCTAATTCATGTGACGCAATATTAATTCATTAAAACAACAAGCTAATCATGTGAGAAAACAACATGCCATATACTAGTTTTGTCAGAAATGCTAGAAACATGCTAATTAATCGTAGAAAAAATGAAACGAAAATTAAGAAATGCTAAAAACAGGCTAGTTCATCCTAGCAAAATGCTAAAAAGCTAGAATTACACAAGTTCCAACTAGCAATAATCAAAAATCAACAAAATATGCTAAAATCTGTAGTATCGGTTAAGAATGTGCTAAATCATCTTAACAGATGCTGGCAACATGATAAAGCATGCTAACAGCTCTGCTGAAAAAAAAAAAAACAGCCTGGGGTGGTTGGCCGGTTTTAGCTGGTTGACCAGGCTGGTTTTAGAGGGGTTTTTGGCCATTTCCAGGCTGGTTTTAGCAATTTCCAGTCTGGTCTTAGCTGGTCAGGCTGGAAAATGACCAGCAAAAACTAGCTTGACCAGCGTGGTTTAAGCTGGACATAGCTGGTTTTGGCTGGGCTCCTAGCCTTGATAGGCTAGCCAGGCTGGTTTTAGCTGGTCATCTCCCAGCCTGACTAGCTAAGACCAGGCTGGAAATGGCTTTTTTTTCAGCAGGGAAACTGCTACAAATGGCAGCAATGAGCTAAACATGCTAGCAAAAACAAATCAATAAAAACAAATATGCTAGAAATAGGTTCCATGTGCTAAAACATGCGTAACAACATCCTTAAATGCGGTCTTATCTTATTTTATTTTTAATTTATTTTAATTATTTATTAACCATTCCTTTAAAACCCAAACAAAACGGCTTTAAACAAAAAAATACTTTAAACTTAAATGTTCTTTATGTTTCTGTGGAAGTTAATTTTTCAGGAGTGTTTGATGAACAGGAAGAACCGTTTTTATTTTAAATGATTTGTAACAAATGTGTTTACTGAAGAGAATCCTGCAAATTCCTTATACAAGAAAAGGTTTGAGAAACCTGAAGGATGTCACATCATTGTGTCATTGCGGTATTTTGAATAGTCAGGGTGTGCTCGGCATGTCTGTGCTTGTGTTATGAATTTTGACACATACACATACAATTTCTGATGAGCTGTGACTTACAAAACAACCAAACCATCATTAACCTTACTCACAAAAACTGATTCATGTTATAAATGTGTAAAGAATACAGGATTTTTAAAATAAATATTTTTGTATTATATATATATATATATAAAAATATTATATATATTATTAATATTAAATAGATTTTTTGTTTATATTTTATGAATATACTGAATTACTTTGTTTATATATTTAGCAATTTTGCATTCATTTACCTCACGAATCTGCACTCATATAATTAGCAATATTGCTTTTATCTATCTAGCAATTTTGAATTTATACAATTAAAAATTTTGCATTTATTTATGTAGAAATACTGGATATATTTATCTAAAAATCTGAATTTATACAATTAGCAATTTTGCATCTATTTATCTCATAAATCTGCATTGATATAATTACCAATTTTGCATTTATTAATCTAAAAAAGTCTGCATTTGTATAATCAGCAGTTCTGCATTTATTACTTTTCATTCTATTGAATAACCAGCATTTCTGCATTTACTGTCTACAGTAGCATGCCGCAATTTAGCATTCACATACAGCAGTTCCTCAGAAACACTCACTGTGGGTGTCTCTGTGCCAGTATTGATCGTCTGGCTTTAAACACAGATCCACAGCGCTGGAAAAGGCCGGATCCGGGCAGTGATTCCGGAGACGTGGAGTGGATGGAGACGAGATCCAGAGTTCAGGCCCCTCTGATGCACATCGAGACAAAGACAGCGCACTAATCACACAAAAAACACATCCCAAATGTCATTCAGTGATTCAACAAGAAAAGGCAATACACACACGGAGTGATCATTATACATAGCAACTGTTTGTGCCTAGAGAATTATGTGCTAGAGTAAGAAAGGGGAGTTTTTTAGAGAGAGTTTCTACAGGTGGTTTGTCAAACCCACTCACCTGTGTGAAGCTCATTTCATAAATGCACAATATTTTTGGAGATGTTGAGTGATTATAAGAATCATCTGGTGCAAATATGCAAAAACTGGTGTAAGTGTTGGTTAAAGTGTCAGAGGAATAAAAGAGTGCGTTTTCTACAGGTGGTTTGTCAAGCCCACTCACAATTCATAAATGCACAATGTTTTTTTTTAAACAACATAAAATCTCAAGGTGACACGGTGGCTCAGTGGTTAGCACTATAACCTCACAACAAGAAGGCCGTTGGTTCGAACCCCAGCTGGGTCAACTGCCGTTTCTGTGTGGAGTTTGCATGTTCTCCCCATGTTGGAGTGGGTTTCCTCCGGGTGCTCCGGTTTCCCCCACAGTCCAAACACATGCGCTTTAGGTGAACTGGATCAACTAAATTGGCCGTAGTGTATGAGTGTGTATGGATTTTTCCCAGTACTGGGTTGCAGCTGGAAGGGCATCTACCGTGGAAAACATATGCTGGAATAATTGGCGGTTCATTCTGCTGTGGCGACCCCTGATGAATAAAGGGACTAAGCCGGAGGAAAATTAATAATTGAATAAAATCTCAAACAAACCTGAAGGGCGTGAAGACGAAGCGGGTTGTGTTGTGCTGGACAGTTTTTAGTATCGTTGGGTCTTCTGAAAAAATCAGCCAGTCCAAATGATGACATTTGCTCCCATAAACGCCTGATCCTGATGGCTCGAAACACAACAGCACTGCAGCAACATGACCGAGCACCGGCAAACCCTGATCTGCACAAACACAGCAAACATCTCAAATTTAGACATTTTAGAATTTATTCGTTATTTGATTCTGTCTTCATCTCACTATAAGAACAGTCTCAAGTCATATTCTATTCATTCCAATCCATTAAAATACTTTACTGCTGGCGTTTCAAACTGCTGGTCCTCCTCCCTCCTCCTCCCGATGTCAAAAATATAATGAGATTTAGCCTGCCAAAAAACTTATTTTTGAACCCACTATAACTGTTGTGCAGTCACGTCTAGCCACTTGTGATTTTGACCCGCCACCTAGTCGACATTTAAAGTACTGCATTCAGATTAGTTTTACTTCCATTATCTCTAAGTAACACACAAATGTTTTTATTCTGGGGATGATTTAAAAGTTTAAATATACAGTTGAGGTCAGAATTATTAGCCTCCCTTTGACTTATTTTTTAAATATTTCCCAAATGATTTTTAACAAAGCAAGGAAATTTTCACAGCGTGTTTGATAATATTTTTTCTTCTGGAGAAAGTCTTATTTGTTTTATTTTGGCTAGAATAATTAATTAACTATTTTTTAAAAACCATTTTAAGGTCAAGATTATTAGCCCCTTTAAGCTAAATTTTTTCCGATAGTCTACAGAACAAACCACCGTTATACAATAATTTGCCTATTAAACCTAATTAACCTAGTTAAGCCTTTAAATGTCACTTTAAGCTGTATAGAAGTGTCTTGAAAAATATCTAGTATAATATGATTTGCTGTCATGGCAAAGATAAAATAAATCAGTTATTAGAAATGAGTTGTTAAAACTATAATGTTTAGAAATGTGTTGGAAAAATCTGCTTTCCATTAAACCGAAATTGGGGAAAAAATAAAAAAGGGGGCTAATAATAATTTAGAGGGGGCTAATAATTCTGACTTTAACTGTATATATATATATATATATATATGTGTGTGTGTGTGTGTGTGTGTGTGACGAGACTGTACGAATGAACTGGTTTCCATCATTGAGCAGTAATGCACATGTTCTGAGTGCTGTCATTAGAGATTTTCCAAACACTCCTGATATTGTTGTTGTGGATGAAGTACTGAAAAACGTTCTGATTATGGAAGTAGGCTGTTGTTTTGACTCATACATGGATCTGTGCTATTCAGAAAAAATGCTGAAATATCAACCATTAGTGAATGCTCTGAAAGTGTGTGGCTACAACACAAAGTTGGTGGTTTTAATTTACAGTAGCCTTGGGCATGTTCATAAACTGTGTGTGAGAGGACTACAAATTGCCGGACTCAGTAAAAAAAACTCTAAACAAATTGCAAAGTATTGTTCTGTATCTGCAATAATAGGCAGTCTTCATGTGTGGAGAAGACGATGCCATCTCTATCCTTAATCCATTTACTTAATACTGCACGTAAAATGGATTGAGTGTCTAGTGCCACGCAAAAGATCATCAATGGTTGCATTCTGCTTTTATTGTGAAACATTATGGGCTCCTTACGATTATTTGGATGCTGTGTTGTTTTAATAGTATTAGTCATTCCAAATAAAATGAATCAAGTGTGTGTGTGTGTGTGTGTGTGTGTGTATTTATTTATATATTTTTTTCTGTTTAAAGGAGAGCAGATTTGTTCAGCACATTTCTAAACATGATAGTTTTAATAACTCATTTGATGACAGTAAATAATATTTGACTAGATATACTTCCATACAGCTTAAAGTGACATTTAAAGGCTTAACTAGGTTAATTAGGTTAACTAGGCAGGTTAGGGTAATTACGCAAGTTATTGTATAATGATGGTTTGTTCTGTAGACTATCGAAAAAATATATAGCTTAAAGGGGCAAATAATATTGACCTTAAAATGTTTTTAGAAAAATTAAAAACTGCTTTTATTTTAGCCGAAATAAAACAAATAAGACTTTCTCCAGTAGAAAAGATATTATCAGACATACTGTGAAAATTTCCTTGTTCTGTTATTAAAAAAATCAAAGAGGGGAGAATAATTCTGACTTCAACTTTATATTTTACAATCATAATACGTGTCTATAGGACGGAACATCGCTCAGCCGTTAGCACAAAGGCCTCACAGCAAGAAGTTCACTGGTTCGAGTCCCAGCTGGGCCTGTTGGCATTTCTGTGTGGAGTTTGCATGTTCTCTCCGTGTTAGGTTAGGTTACTTTATTTATCCTCGACGGTAGATTTCAAGACTTCTGATTTAATAACTGTGCCACACACACAAAAAAGGACATAAAGACATAAAACATAAACATACAAAACACTTATAAAGAATAAATAAATAATCACTTCAAGTGTCCATCCACTCAAATAAACGTATATTTTACACTCTGATCTCTGACAATCAGGGACTAATCTGAAGGAAAATGACAGAATGAATAATACATGTCTATATATGTGTTATTTATAATTAACTAATTCCCAAAGCAAAACTGTAAAGTACACAACCTGGTACATGTGAACACACCCTTAGACACCACAAACAAGCCTAGGGAAGAAGAGACTTTCAAATCAAACACACACACACACACACACTCACCAGCTCTGGAATCATTGGAGATCAGGTACATGCCGTCCGCTCCTGTGCTGCCTCTGATCGGGACGCTCCAAACTTGATCATCTTCTCCAAAAAACACCAGAATCAGTCTGTTCAGAGGGGTGGACGGCGGACCGCTCAGCTCCACAAAGAAGCAGTCCTGCGATCGGTTGTTTCTAGAAAACCCACTCCACTCGCTGATGATCAGAGCCCCAGGGGCTTGTGGAGGACACGCATTCGGCTTTCTCGGTGTTGGAGCTGCGACCTGAGCACATGTGTAGGAATAAAGACACATGCATTTAACAGGGTTTCTGCGGGTCTCACCAAGCCAAGTTTAAAGGGCACCTAAGGTAAAAAAAAAATCTACTTTTCAAGCTGTTTGGACGGACATGTGTGTTAGTATAGTGTATAGACCGTCATATTGAGGTGATATAAACACACTCAGTCCTTTTTTTCTCAATTTAGCAACATAAAAACAGTGGACCAATTGGTGCGTTTTTCAGACCGTCTGCAACTTGACGTAGGAGTGTGCCCCGCCCACCAATATTAATTGACAAGCACGTCATCATATCCTCATATCCCTTGCTCTATTGTTACGACTGGAGTTTATTTATTTATTTATTATTGCGGATTGTACTCTGTCCTTTTCTTTTTGTCCCGCCTCCTTGTTTTTCTGTTGTCTCATAGGCTCCCATACCGGCGTGATTCCCTGTTCTGATTGGCTGCTGGTCGCAAAAGCATGTATAAAAAGGGAGGGAGGGATCTGACAGCTCATTTCTGTGCGTTCGGAGTTTGGAGTGGAGCTCCTGGGTTACCCTCACCCCTTCGGCCGATGACCAACAACCAACATTGAAAATGTTCATCTGATTTATGTACAATGCAGTTTGTACAGTAATATTTTCTCTTTTAGTATATTTATTATATGAGAAACTTGCTTTGTTTACCAAATAAAGTGAATCTAATTAGATTCGCAATTTAAACATGAAATAAAAGTTAAAAATGTATTACTTTTTATTTCACTAATTAAGGTTTTAGTTATGATACTCCCAAAATAATTCCACAGAAATCCGCAGATTTTAACCAAAATTCTCCGCAGAAATAGCAGAAAAGATTCCATCTGGCCCTGGTAATTAGTCTCGGTGTACAAGCTCGGCACTTGAAGCTAGCACACAGTTGTCTGTAAAACTATACAAAGACACAAATGATTGTGTACACTCTGCTTGGTCTGTGTCTGAGTCGTACATGTACAGCTGAATTCTGATCCTCTCACTTATGCTGCTTCTCAAAGCCTGTTTGTTGAAAACACAGAGCGGGTGAGCTCTTGGCTCCGCCCCCTTGCTACGTTGGGAGAGAAGCTGAAACTAATTTTCATGTTAAGCAACACACCCCTAAAACAGCGAGCTGTGTAAACGCCCCCAACATGACACTTTTTAACACATTATAATAAACACATCTCTGTGTTTTAAACTGAACCTAAACTGGCACACTCAGAAGAACCATAATACTAATATTAAATTATAAAGAAGGGGTAACTATGTGCCCTTTAAGACTTTTTAAGACCATTATTAGGCAAATAAAAAATAAAATAAAATAAAAATTTCGAATGGCACGGTTGGGCCAATAAAAAAGATCTTAACTTGCCTCATTGAAACAATTTTAACAATTTTTCTTTCGCTCACCATGAAAGCGCTGAGGTTGCGTTTGCTGTTGCTGCAGCGGCTGAGAGACTCGTCTGTGGCTAAAGCGCTGATGTCCTCCAGCAGAGGGAGTTGTCCTGGAGACAGAGCCTCCATCAGCTCAGGATTGAAAGTACTCTTATCAGAGCCACGCCCACGGTAAACCACTGCATCCAGCAAACCACTGAGCATGCTATCCATATGCTCCTCAGATTGTGAACCCCTGCTGCGGTACAAGGCTATGGCGTCCGGCCCGTTCTGAATGGTGTTGGATGAGATTGTGATGTCAGGGGCCACCTTAGAGCTGCCGATCTGAAAAAAGAGAATAATAATTATAGATAGATATGCAAACCTTGACAGCGCAGTTGCTAGGCCATTCTGAGTGGTTATGAACATTCATTTGATGATTTTATTAAATATGTTATGATATTTTTTTTAATCCAGTGTGTTAAAAAACAGTGCTGTTGCGAGGGGGGCTTGATCTTTTGGAAAATGTTGCACTTAAAAAGATAGGGGGTAGAACATTTATTTTGTTGCCCACGTACTTAGAATTACCACATACATCACGCGTATTCCACTTAACGCAGCTCTTGTGTCAAGGACTTAAAGGGTCACGAAACACCAAAACACATTTTTTGAGCTGTTGACAGTCGTATATGTGTCCCACACTGCTAAAAACACTATCAGGACACATATATCTCACTAAAAAGTGAAAATTGGTTGTTTTTGCGTTATTTCGAGCAAATTCGTACATCCGGTTTGAAACGAATTTTTGAAGCTGCGTCACGGCCATGAGATCTTAGCCTGTATTCCAGCATGCAGACTGGACGTCAGTACCGTATTACGTCTCTGAGTGTGCTGCATTAATGCATGAGTAAGGCTTGGTTCAAACCAATCAGCGCGCTCTATTGTGCAACTTTATTATTATTCATTAATGTTACAGTGTAGACGACAGAGACGCCACGTTGTGTTGGCAAAACAAGCGTGCAGTGTTGCTTTCATAATTTACTGCAGTCAAGTTTTGTTTTCATTTTCTCTCTGTGAGAGCTCAGCTTACCTTGCATGTGGATTACAGTGTACGCGACGCACGAAAACAATAACTTACGTGTCTAAGCAACATTGTTTGCCCGAGAGCTTTTCTCTTCTGCAAGAAGAGGTTTTGCTGCTTGTCTCCTCTTAATAAAGACACGGCTCTAGTTGCTGTGGATTGTCCTGTCTCTACAGATTTGGTAAGTGAGCGATCAGTGCTCTTTGTTTATTCAGTTTGTTCGTATCGAACTAACTATTACACCGAGTGTAAACATGTTAGCACTACAACCAAACTATTACCGTCGTGTAGGATCTTCACCGTATTTTGTGAGCAGAATAACACACGCGGCTTACCTGCTGAGTGCATCTAAATTACAGAGAAATGCAGAGTTTATTTTTTTCTCTCATTTGCCATGCGGTATCAAACATTGCATGAAAAATACACGCTCAGAGCAGTTCCTCGAATCAAATTTCTCGTTTGTCACGAGGGGCACAAATGTGTTCCCTGAATGAAAGAGCAAAACTGCAGTTAAAGTCCAACATTTAATAATTTGGCAAATAATTCGATTACAGATGTCCATGTAAACACAGTCACTTTGTCCCCGTGGGTTACACCGGTCACTTGACGCAGATGTATAAATCAGGCTTTGTCAGTGAACTATGGGGAACTATGGGGACTAATAAAAATTAAATAAATAAATAAAACAATCGTTCATTTATTGTAAATGAGTTAAAATGTTCAGTTACACTTGACAGCCCTTTTTGGTATTTCACAGAGAGTTGACTGGACTGTTGCATCTCGCCAGGCTATTGATTTTTTTACTCTTTTAGCTAGACAAGCCATTCTTATCAAATGGAAACAGGTGATTCCTCCATTAAATGACATGTGGATCCGACAAATCTTTAAATATATAATACTTGAGAAATTAAGATGTTAACTTGCAGGATCTGTCAAATCTTTTTACAAGACCTGGAACCCTGTTTTAGCCTATATCAAAGGCTTACCCTGTTCAGTTGATATCAGATCTAATACATGGTAAATAATTGAATAAAGGAAATATTGACTCCTTGAACTTTTAATATTTTGTTTTTGCTCTTATTGTAAACTTGCTCATCTATAATTTTTTAGAAGAATTTCTTTTATTTTAATTTATTATATTTTTTTCTTTCAGAGGATATGTTTGTTTATAATTCATACATTTAATTTATTTTATTTTGAGGGGAGAGTGGGAAAATAAGAAAAATAAGACAATCTGTAATTTTTCCTATGTTTTATTGTATAATATGATGTATTGTCTCGTTAAACACCAATAAAAAAAAAATCAATTAATCAAGATTTTGTTTTTAGGCCAAATCGCCCAGCCCTACCTTATCCCTTTCAACCCTAGCAATGCCCCTGCTCCGAAAACAATAACCAAATTTGCTTTTAGAAATTATAAACATCCAAATCTTGCAGTTTGTCACTTCCACCTAAATGGATCAATGATTTTTTTTAACACCACCTTCAGTTCAATACTACAGTTTCTCATCAAATCTTCTGACCAATCAAGATACTTCACATCTGCTTTTCAATTGTTGTGCTGTAGCTCAACCGCTCTCACTGGCAGAGCTGTGATAAACACAAAACGCTATTGGCTGTTTTTCTTTCAAATGGGAGGAGCTACTCTATGTCCCGCCCTCTTCTCATGTTTCACTTGAGATTACTTCACATATCGAATAAAAACTGCACTTTACAAGATCTTTAATTGGAACTTAACCTCATTTGCATCACATCTGTAAGTATGCATGAACTCACCAGGAAATATCCGTCATCATCAGTGTAATATCCATTGAGCTCCAGTCCATAATATACTTCTCCATTAAGTCCATTGATCATCACCAGCCAGATGAAATCCAGTGACATACGGGAGCCGGACGGATGCCACAACTCTATAAACTCCTCATCCTCGGCTCCTCCAGGTGAATCGGTGTTGATCTCATTCAGCAGGAAATCAACCTGGCTGTGAATCGGGGGCTTGATGTGTCCAGACCCTTCAAAAGTGGCTGAAACAACAAGCCCACATCAATAAATACCACAGTAATTTATAATCGATAGGAATAGTAATATAAACAACCCAATACTGTACAGTTTTTCTACAACTATATGCTTTATTATACTACCATTACGCCACAGTTTACTGTAGCAAAAGCTAAAGTATACTACAGTATTATTAGTTTGTCTGATCACTATAGTTAATACTACAGTATGCTGAAGCATTCATTAACAAGGTATTATAAATAGTATAATCTATATATATATGTATACACAGTATGATACACTTTACCATATTGTGATTTAAATACAGGACAGAATTAAATATACATTACTATGGTATTCTTCCATGTGAGAGATTATATGAATATGCTCCTGTTAGGCTTGTTATTGTTCGCATAACAAGTGTTGAGGAAAAGATTAATTTTATATATGGTAATGAAATCACGACAGACTGGGTCAACTGACCAATCAGAGCAGAGTATAGCCATCAAAGTAGAGTGTGGATATTATGGGAACATTTATTTATTTACCTTGGACGTTTGTAAATATTTTATAAAAGACCTTCAAGCATTTATTCAGCGGAATGAACCACCAGCATATGTTTTTACGCAGCGGATGCCCCTCCAGCTGCAACCCATCACTGGGAAACATCCATACACACTCACACACACACATACACTACGGACAATTTAGGGTGTTGCAGCTGGAAGGGCATCCACTGTGTAAAACATATTGGATAAGTTGGCGATTCATTCCGCTGTGGCAACCCCTGATGAATAAAGCGACTAAGGCTAAGGAAAATTTATGTATGCGTCACAAATTATATATAAATTTAAATATCTATGCAAAAAAAGTTTTGTGCGTTGTGTGTATAATACACACACACATATAATGTCAAAACAAACTTATTTTGGATGCGATTAATCTTTGCCCGCCCTAGTATTTACTTTAAATGACTATAGTATATTGAAAATAGTTAATATATTAATCATTACTTAATTTATTTCATTTAGAGACTTTTTTTATTAAGATTTATTTTTGGCCTTTATTCTTTGCCCTTATTAAGTGGATAGGACAGTATTTCAGACAGAAGCCGAAGAGGGAGAGAGAGAGGGGATTTTTTTTTCTTGAGCCGGTGTCAAGAAATTGGGTCCCACTGACAATTGGGTCCGCCTAAGATCCTATTGGTTCAGTGGAGCTTTAATAGGTATATAATATATATATACTGTATATATATATTATAACGCTCTTTTAAATTACATAAATTTAAAATGTAATAAATTTCAGTGCATTTATAATATATATATATATATATATATATATATAAATCAGGACTCGAAATTGCGACCATTTTGGTCGCATATGCGCCCTAAAATTAATCTATGCGACCTCATAATATATATGGGAGCATTAGTGCGACTGCAGATAATGGTTGTAGTGCGACCTGTTTTGATTTTTTGCAAAAACGTGCTGAATCGCTCTTCTTATATTGGTTCATATTAGCTGTCATTCACTCACGGTATTCAGATGTCAGATGACAGGGAAGGAGCTTTTATGACCACGGGAAATGCAAACGGCTGAATAGTGAAAACTTAAAGCATGCAGGTTTGCAAACTCCACCTAAAGTTACGGCGCAGATGAGAGCGATCATGACACGTCACGTGGTGAATAATGATCCGCCAGCTGAGATCAATCGAGTACGCGCTTCTTGGAGAAGGCGCCCGAATCTCGATGCGTTGCGTTTACTGCGTGTTCAGGGCAAATGTCCGCTAAAAGTCAAATCTAATACTGTACATATCATCGCCAAAGAAGCTCGCCTTTATTAAGTTTACACTGAAACTGCGGCTCATAACAAAGACCGGTATTGGGCCGATGGTCACCGCAAGAATCCTGCTCAACCTGCTCATAAATTGGGTCGGCTGACTCGCCAGCTTTTCCACTAACACAGAAAAATGAAGATCATCTCAGACTGAACCTTTAAATTGACACAAACTGAAACCAAAACTTTTAAAGAGTGATAGAAGTGAGACTTTACTTACTTTCTTTTGTCTATTCTTTTTTGAGGTGTATATTATAATTTTTTTATTTATTTACTGATGACTGCTTTGCAGCTTTCAGCATTGAATTGAATGATTTATTATAATCTTTTGTTTGTTTAGTAGCAGAAATATTATTTATTAAATTGACATGCATATAAAAACAGCAGTGCAAAATAAATTTTTCTTACTGCAATGCTTCATTTTTGTTTGATGCAAACTATACAATTATTTTTTATAAAGTAACAGACTTTTTATAGCAGATAACCTACATTCATGCACATTCAAGGCAGTATCATAATGAGAAATGTAATTCATTGTTACTATTATTGTCATTTTTTATCATTATTAATATTCTATGGCCTAATTATTAGACATTAATTTTGGAATTATTGCACACAAATATCAAAGTCTTCGCAGCTTTAGTTAGATAGTTGTTTCTGGTTTTTGTCAGTCCTATTAATGTTGTTTTAAAATACAATAAATCCCTTAAAAAAACTATTTGCAGCGGTGCTCTTTAATTTTTGGTGGGTGCTCCTAAATTTTTTCTGGTGCTCCTAAAATTGTTTTGGTGCTCCTAAATATTTGAAGTTGGGAGCACCGGTGCTACCAAGTAAAAAAGTTAATTTCGAGCCCTGTAAATGCACTGAAATTTATTACATTTTAAATTTATGTAATTTAAAAGAGCATTATAATTTCGGATACTGACGTACAACTAAAGGCATATGTAAAGCTTTTATTTTTGATAGCCTACGACGTGCTACGACTGCTTATGTAAATATATAATGTTACATATAAATACAAAAACATCAAAAAAGACAACATTTAATGTTTACAAACGTTTCAGTTATTTGAACTAGAATATCTTTAGTAACTTGTAGTTATCGATATTAATGTTACTAATATGATTAGTCTTGTTAAAATGTCAAGACAGAATAGACTATAAAAAGCAGCAAATGTGATTATAATTGCACTGTGGAGAAGTAAAATAGTTTTTGATCAGGCATTCAACGCAGACAATCCATTGGGGTCCTAAGCAGACTCGATTGCAGGGGGGACTCGATTTCTCACCACACCAAGATTCGAACTCAGGACGCCCTAAAGTGCTGCTGCACCATATGTCAGCGCACTAACCACTAGGCTATTGCGCCAATATCATATGAATAAATATGGTTCTGTTAAACATACTCATCAAGTAAAGCGGACAGGACTGAAACCAAACGCAGTCATTGGCTTTTCCGGGACTTCTGGGTCTCGACACAAACAGTTCTGGATCTCTCGTCCATTCGGCAACACCACATCGACTGGCATGAACACCTGCTGTCAGGAAACTGCAGCACACAAACATGAATAAATGTTTACTAGAACACACAGTAAATCCTACTGCACTCTATGGCACGTGCTGATCACCTTTCTGCAAGCATGAAGGCTTTTCTCCCTGGTATGAGAGTCTCTGTCAGGTTGTTTCCGGGCATGTGTGAGGAGTCACCATAAACGAAGGCATCAATTGGCTGCTCATGGCTGAGGGGGCCGTCCTTAGGGAAGTCTGATGCTGAGCCTTTATACAACGCCAATGCAGCAGTCTGTGGCACTGAAAGAGCACATAATACATATTACATAACATGTTTATCAATTTAAAAGCTATATTTTGAGGAAAGATACATTTAGAAAATACCTGAAGTGAAATAAGCTAAAAAAAAGAGAAAGAAATTAACCCTAATCATATTATTTTAAGAACTTAATTTATTTAAAGGGAACCTATTATGCAAAAATGAACTTTTATAAGTGGTTTAAACACAGCATAAACAGCCTTGAGTGATAAGCAGCCGTCCGCCATTAGGGTTAATTAAAATTTAAGCTCAATACAAGTATCTTGCTAAATAAATAGTCAAATATTATGTGCCGTCATTGTGGCAAAGACAGAAAAAGTTTAGTTATTGGAACTTAACCACTTAAACTCTGCGGACCCGGTACCGTCATCGACTTTCACTTTCAGATTTAAAGGGCTAGCGTTGCACCAGACCCCCGTAAGTGGTTTCGTTTAAAAGTGTAGAATCTATATTTTATGCACATATGCATCCCTTTGGTTTTTATTCGACTGTACAAAAGTTATTTACACTTAAATACACAGTATTTTAGATTCCCGAGCTAGGTATTTTACATACAGGCAGGTTCATTTTCATATTTTACATAAGACACATGTACAAGTTATAGCTCGAATGAAAGCTCCTGCCGGTGCTCATACAGTTCTAGCATTCTTTTTACTGAATGATATTCATATGCCAAACAGTTGTTGAATGAATTGTGGTGTTTCCATGGCGCAGAAATGTAAACAATACATTCATGATCAATAAGCAGCCCCAGATAGCACAGACAGCTGTCATCTCTTACCTTATGCTGTGTGCTTCAGGGCCATTCTCCTCTGTTTTTGAGGTGATGTGCATAAGCAATCCTATTATATGTCTGATGTGGTCCAAACACAGTGAATTATGTTTGATAAAACAAAAAAATAGTGAAATATGAAAACAAGGATCGGTCTCTGTATCTTGTACAGCACCTCTCATCAGTTGGAATGCAATAACTTTTGCATAGATTATGGTAGAGACATTTTTCTTTTTTCCTATGATTACAGACATGAGCAGGAACCAACAAAATTAATTACAGCACGCTAGACCACACAGAACCTAAAAGGTAGACTTTCAAATTTGAGTTTATAAAAAAATATATAAAAAGCACCTCTTTTTTTAGGTGTTTATTATATCACAGACGACATATACAGTTATTTTAAACACTTTCAATAGTGTTTTATGAAAATTCAAAGGGTTTTCTTTAAAATGAGACCAAATTTTTGCATTTACACCTCTGCATGTGGATTTGGAAAGCTTTTAAATTTGGGTAGGCAAAATCCAGGCGGAAATGCCCAAATAGCAGCAGAGTTTAAGTGGTTAAAGTTTTTATGTTTAAAAATGTGTTCAAATGCAAGCTGTTTTCATCAATTTGACATTTTGTTTAATTAAATTAATCAAAAAAAGCTAAAAATGGAGGAAAATTTATGGTAAAACTATTATTGTTACCTTAAACATATCTAAAAAAATATTATATAAAATATAAAACATACTTAAAAATTATTTTGGGGAGAAAATGACAAATAAATACTAAATAAAATAAAAAAATAAACTAATTTTTTAAAAATAACAAAGAACAAAAATAACTCATAAAATATAATCACAACCACTAAAATTATATAAATTAAAACAATTATAATAACACAGTGCTTTCCAGAGGGTTGAAATATAGCTGTGGTGGTAGCTAAATTGAAACACACGTTTTACCAACATGACATAAATAGTTAACTATTTGTGACAAACAAAACATAATTTGGTTTTAAACGCTGTTTTTTTCATTATTATTTGTTTAACCTTTTTTCTTTTCAGTGCATTAAAGTAAAAAAGACTGTGGAAATAAATTTTTTAAAAATCCACTATTCCTCTTGTATGCTATTCAGGAGCCATGTGCACCCACCGACAGGTCAAATCTGCTTCTCTCTATCTCTCATTCGGGCGTACTGAATAGCGGTGTTGTCGCACACGTACTGTAAAGCGGGAAGGGGAGGTTGAGCGCGCATACTCAAGAGCGGTGTTGTCGCGCGCCTACTGAATCTGTCTTTTACCAGATTATAGTCATATGATCATTTTCCTTAAAACCCATCTCTATCTAAGTGAGTGAGTGAGTGATTAAATGTTGAATGTGATGAGTTTTCAACAATACAAAATTGAAACTTAATTTTTTTACATGGTTTAATAATTTTTTGTTATTAAAATTGAAGTTCCTGTTTCAAAGCTTACAGATAGATGGCTAATTTGTATGTCATTGACACTTTTGGCACTTTTTTGGAGTATTTTCATAAGTTTTGTTTTTCCTGTAAATGATTCAATAAATACTGTACCGTGACATTAATGCCGAGGTATTACCGTACCGTGAAATTCTGATACCGTTACATCCCTACAGGCTAGTGACGTTTGTCTGTAAATCAATAGCGTTCAGCTACGTGTCTAGCTCCGCCTTTTGGTACCCTTTTGTTGTGCTAGGCACCCTTTGGAAAGTGGTACGGTTCGCTTTTTGGTACCTTTATACAGTGAGAATGGCCATAAAAGCATATAATATTTATTAAATATTATTAATATAATATAAATTATATTATATTTTAATTAATATAATAAATTATTTTATATATTAATATAAAAGTGGGACCAGAAATGACATTGCAAATACGTTAAAAAAGTGTCTTTTTTACCTGTCAAAGCAGCGGTATTCACAGGTACGGTGTAGAATCCGGTTTCTTTAGCGCTGAACTCGACACTCAAGCTAATCAGATCTGTGGTCACATCATAAAGCACCAAAGTGAAGGATCCGTTTGCCTTCCCGACACTGAGCTCCACAACACCCTTCTGCTCTGACCCGCTAATATCCACTTCACTGATCCAGATGTGTGCAGGGGTCGGCGGAAGGCACTGATTGACCCAACCGGGTGTGGGAGCACCAGTGGAAAACGTCCAGAAGTTTCCAGACTCCCAGCAGCGCTGAATAGACTCGTCCCCCTCCAGAGCCGATTCATCCTCCAGGTATGGAACCGAACCGGGAGTCAAAACTGAAGCAAGACCATCAGCGCCTTCAGAGGATTTTCGAGAAGTGTATACAATAGCATCCACCAATCCGACTCCAGAAACGTGTCCTCCTTCAGGAACTGGAGCCCAATTGGGTCCGTAAAGTGCGATGGCGTCAGGCCCGTTCTGGACAGAGTTGGGTGGGAGAGAGATGGCAGGACGGGGCTTTAGTTCAGCAGATCCTACCAGGAAAAAACCTCTCTGATCTGTGTGGTGTCCTGTTAAATCAATGACCCGGTAGGCCACATCACCGTTGCCATTATAAAACACAAGTGTGTATCCGTCCAGAGACGTAGGGTTTGTCCCGTTGTAGTAGAGCTCCACAAATTCCTTAGTGTCCAGTTTGGGGTTGTCACAATTCACCTCGCTGATCATTAAACATGGGGCTGTGTCTTTAAAAAGGCATATGAGGGTCAAAAAGGACAAGTTGAGTTTGATGTGCATGATTGCTGCCCGGCCTGAAACTCTCAGCATGTCATGCAAAACTAAAGCTGGAGAAAAACAGAAGAGAGGTTATTCTTTAAAGGGGCGGTTCACACAAAAACTACAATTCATCATCATTTGTTCCAACAATCTTTGAGTTTTTTTCCTCTGGTAAACACAAAGGAAGATATTTTGAAAAATGTTAAAACCTGTAACCATTGACTTTAATTGTATGATTTCAAAACAACATAAGCACTATTTATTTGACTGTGGGCAATGTTGCGGAAATGTACACTTAGCCTACTCCAGAACTATTGAAATAATTACTCAAAAATAGCTAATTATTCAATTAATTGGAGTTGTTTTTTGTTATTTTACTTATATAGTACTATAGTATTTACAACACTTTGTTAATAAATGCTAAGGCATGCGGTAGTATTAAAGAAATAGTTCACCTAAAAAAAAATGAAATTTACTCACTATATACTCACCCTCAAGTGGTTTTATATTACATTTGTGTTCTTTTATTCTATTGAACACAAAGGAAGATATTTTGAAAAATGCTGAATCCTGGAACCATTGACTTTAATTGTATGATTTCAAAACAACATAAGCACTATTTATTTGAGTGTGGGCAATGTTGCGGAAATGTACACTTAGCCTACTCCAGAACTATTGAAATAATTACTCAAAAATAGCTAATTATTCAATTAATTGGAGTTGTTTTTTGTTATTTTACTTATATAGTACTATAGTATTTACAACACTTTGTTAATAAATGCTAAGGCATGCGGTAGTATTAAAGAAATAGTTCACCTAAAAAAAAATGAAATTTACTCACTATATACTCACCCTCAAGTGGTTTTATATTACATTTGTGTTCTTTTATTCTATTGAACACAAAGGAAGATATTTAAAAAAAAGCTGAAACCTGGAACCATTGACTTTAATTGTATGATTTCAAAACAACATAAGCACTATTTATTTGAGTGTGGGCAATGTTGCGGAAATGTACACTTAGCCTACTCCAGAACTATTGAGATAATTACTCAAAAATAGCTAATTATTCAATTAATTGGAGTTGTTTTTGTTATTTTACTTATATACAGTAGTACTATAGTAGTTACAACACTTTGTTAATGAATGCTTTGGCATACGGTAGTATTAAAGAAATAGTTCACCTAAAAAAAAAATGAAATTTACTCACTATATACTCACCCTCAAGTGGTTTTATATTACATTTGTGTTCTTTTATTCTATTGAACACAAAGGAAGATATTTTGAAAAATGCTGAATCCTGGAACCATTGACTTTCAAAGTAGTAAAAACAAACACTATGAAAGCAACCCAGGCTCATTCTGATTACAAAGCCCTATATACATTTCGGACAGCATCAAATACGCTCCAGAAGCTACGTTTTTTTTTTTTGACCACCAGAGGACACTGTGTACGCTTTTAGAGATCTAAAATTTCTCTTGCGAGTGCCATTAGCGCCTGCTGTTCTCGTCTAAATCCACCAGAGGCCATTGTCGACTGACTGAATGACAGACTGACTGTTTGACTGACAGACCGATACCACCACCCGCCTCCCTCCCTAAACTCAACCGATAAAACTATTAAAGCTGTAGGTTCAATTGGGCTGAAGACAAGGACAATGGAAGGGTTTATACATTTCTAAAGTGTTATTAATAATGAAAAAAAATCTGAGAACCAAATGAATGATATTCCTTTACAGAACAACTCACTGAAATCAACCATCAGTCCATTTTAGAAATTGTTTGGGATGCATTACTTATTCACTCTATTTATGTTTTATTTCAAGGACAGTTAATGTATGTTTCTGGTAGAATGTTCCTTATATTTGTATATAAATTGTATAAGCTACTAAAATGTCACAAAGTTTTAAGCCATGATTAACAATGTCAACTAAAGTTTACAACAGCATAAAAAAAATATTTAAAAAAATAAAAGAAATAAAGAAAAAAGTCCCTTAAGGAGAAAATAAATGGGATTTTCACTTCCAGAACTGTTGCACTAGACATCCGAATAATGAACTGGACTCTTCATATTGCTATAGTAACGAAGAACTAGATCTTAAACATCCACTGGACTTTAAGCTAAACTGAACTGAATTGTTGATATCAAGAATGTTAATTGTTGATATCAAAAATTTAATTGTTGGTATGAAGAATACATATCCTGAGAAGGAATAAAAGTTAAAACGGCTTGCCATAATTTCAATCCTACCTCAGTATATGTATAGCTGCACAGTACGCTAACACTAATTTTCTGAATGCAAAATTTCTATACATTTTAACAGGGGCGGACTGGCCATCTGGCAATTCTGGCAAATGCCAGAAAGTCGGGCCATTTTTTAAATGTGGGCCGGTCACCTATTTTATTTATTTATTTTTTCATATGTATTGTTTTTTAAATGTAGGCAGCTTTTATCTTGTGCGAGATGTGAATATTATGATGATGATGATGGTGATAATAGTAAGAATAATAGTAAATGTTAAGCACCCTGCTGAAAAATCCTGCTTACACCAGCCTAGGCTGGTTTAAGCTGGATTTTTTAGCAGGGCATTGACCCAATTGGCAACAACCGGCTGGTTTCGAGATGGGCCGACCCAATCTGAGGCTTCTCAGATGTAATCAAAATCTGGCAAGAATGTCAAACAAACAGTAAGTGAAAAAAAAGGGAAATGCAGTCAAGTCAGATATTGCCAAATACATAAAATTTACTGAACTGGTCTCGAAAGGGGTCAGTGTGACGGTGCAGTAGGTAGTGCTGTCGCCTCAGAGCAAGAAAGTCGCTGGTTTGAGCCTCATCTGGGTCAGTTGGTGTTTCTGTGTGGAGTTTGCATGTTCGCGTGGATTTCCTCATGCTATAGGTGAATTGGGTAGGCCAATTGTGAATTGGGTAACCCAGTATAATGGGTTGCGGCTTTGAGGGCATCCGCTGTGTAAAACATATGCTGGATAAGTTGCTGATTCCCAGATTAATAAAGGGACTAAGCCGGAAAAAAAAATGAATGACATGATTGCATATATAAATGGGTTGCTTTTGTTCCAGTCACATACATTAAATGTTTAAATATCTCTTAAATAAGGTACTGCTTATATAATTTTACCATCTGTACACCAATATTGTAGTGAATGTGCATGCCCTTGGGTGGGGCTGTGTCGGTGTGGTAATGTGGGCTGGTGTGGCTACAGTGCCAGGGCTGATTTTTAGTCCCAGTCCACCCCTGCATTTTAATGAGAGTAGTGTGTAACAAAATCAAATGCAACATGCTCAATCTTAGAAATTAATTTCACTTATTTTCACATAAACATATGTGAACAATCTGAACTGTTTATAATTACGCATTCATGTTAGTCAGGCAACAGGATCACAATACTTGTCACTTGTCTAATCCATTATACACTTCATGCAGTATGATTATATGCCACTCAAAACATACAACACGATCATCATTACGTCATAACATGCATTTTAAAGTATTGTTTACAGATTTTCTGGGAACCATGCTGATGGGTGCGGAGACTTGTTGCACACTAAAATCTGGAAAACATCAAGAAACAAATGACGATCGCGTCAAACTAACATGTATTTACTTCACAACTTTCCACTACGAAAGCATTGTGTGTTGCTGAGACTTTAAAATACATTCATCTACAAGATATAGTAGGCTACTTTGCCATCACAAAAGACACGCTCGATTTCGCAACTGTAAAAAAAATCACAGAACACTCGATCCGAGAAAGTGACAAAGAACAATCGTGAGATCCTCGCATGAGATCGGTTTAACGGAGAAGTGTTGCTTACCGCGTGTCCCGGTGCCTGTTTATGGGATCTGGTAGAGTTTGGTGGAGTTTCAGCAACTTTTTATTTGTGTGGAGGAAGAAGCGATCCGATCCGATCTCTTCCACGCGAGTGTGGGCGGTGTATCTGGAGTACTCACGCACATTCCCGGAGACATTAATGCTAGCCTAATTTACTTCCCAGAATGATGCCTCTGTCCTTTGTGTGCTATTGCTTCACTCTGGATGCATCACTGGTTGAGTTCTAGTACACAGAACTATTGGGACAATTACTCAAAAATAGCTACATATTAAATCAACAACACAAACAAAAAGTTGTTTTTTGTTATTTCGGTTCATTCCGTTGTGGCGACCGCTGATAAATCAGAGAGTGAAGGAAAATGAGTGAATGAATGTTTTTGTTGTTTTTCTTTTTTGAACTTCATCATTTATTTTTGCTCGCATTTAGTATTTTAATATTAAAATACCAGACTACCCTGCTGAAAAAAACAGCTTAATTCAGCATATGCTGGTTGGCTGGTTTTAGCTAGTCAAACATGCTGGTTTTCAGCCATTTACAGCCTGGTCTTAGCTGGTCAGGCTGGGAGATGACCATATAAAACCAGCTTCAACCAGGCTAATCAAGCTGGTTAGTCATTTTCTAGCCTGACCAGCTAAGACCAGGCTGGAAATGATTAAAACCCCTTATTATTATTATTATTATTATTAAAACCAGACAACCAGCTTAAGCTGGTTTGAGCTGTGTTTTCTTTCAACACTGGTATTTTAATATTAAAAGACTAAACGTGAGCAAAAATAAATAATGAAGGCCAAAAAAGTAAAACATCAAAAACATTAATTAATTTTCCTTCGACATAGTCACTGATACGTGCACTTTTATCTGCCAGTGCCAACTACTCTAATTGTTTTTTTTTACTGTTGCAGATTTTTAATAAAATATTGACATCTGTTTTTTAAGCATGTGTTAATCTTACAGATGTATAAACACCAACACTCTTTTGTTGTAGACTATTTTTCAAAGAGACTAACAATTTTAATACTAATAAAATATTTTTTTTTCTTAAAACCTTTTTTTTCTTGTGTTCTCAGTGTAAAACCATACACCTTATCATGAATTACTTATTCAAATATATAATTATATAGCTTACAGGCCCGTAGCCATGCTCGTGAAAGGGGTGGTTATTTTTTCTCAAAAAGTGGACCTTTTTGCAGATGTTCACCTCATTTTCTATTTAATTATGAGGTTTAAATACTGCATTTTAGTGACATATTAAGCAATACTTTTTTGCTGGATTAGCTTGTCGGATGGTCATCATAACGAGAAGTTTTGATGTACCAAAAACATTTCTTAAAGATTAGAATAAAGAAATATATATTTTAAAATACTTTTTATACAAATGTATTACATCACCATTAGAAAAAAATAGGAATTGTTAAAGTTTTAATATAAAAACTCATTTATTAAGCAAATAACAAACTAGGCCAGCACATTTAACTTTCCTCAGTCGCTGAATTTGGGGCTTTCGGAACCTGAAGTCACACCGAAGCAACAGCTGAAGCCAGCTTCAATAGGTTATTTTCATAGGCATTTTTATAATTTATTATGGTATAGCAGTCAAAATAGGACAAATGAGCTCATGTACGGGACAAATTCTGGGTAAATTCTGGAGCTTTGTCAGTGAGGGTCTTTCGAACCAACTGAACTCCTCTGGCTACGGGCCTGGCCTACTAAATCATACTGAATTTAATATTTAAATGTATTTAAAATGTAATCCTAAAAACTGGCTTAAACCTGGTTATATTTCATTAAATTTCTTCCATAAATCATAATAAAATGTATAACAGCCATTTTTAGTAGAGAATAATGAAGACCTGAAGGGCGGGAAATTTAAAGCTGTACATACCTTAAATCACCGTTTGTTTTGACGTCATCTAACTAACCGAAAATTTCGCCGTTTTTACGTTTTATCAATTAATCCTAAGTGAATTATGAAATGTGTGAAGGTAAGTAGGCCTTAAATCTGCGAAAACATTTGTTAATGTACGTCATTTCAAAATGTAGTTTACATTTAGCCTACATTACACATTTTTGCAGATCCTGTCATCCAAAAACAAGAGACGGACTTCAAATACTTCCTGTTTAAAGGTCAAATGTGGCTCATGGATTGGCAATTTTTCATCATCTTCACAGTTTGTAAGCTTTTTGATGAACTTATATTATACAAATACATTAATTAAGTCGGTTAATTCTTAACGTTACTCCCAGAATTCTGTTGGCCATTTCCCACTGATAAGAAAACGATGATTAAAGACTTTATCTGCACCAGCTGTTGTGGTAAGTAAACCCTATCTCATTTATCAGTGTACATCACTTCAAACGTTAACCTGTGTTCTACATGGGGAAACTAACTTAATTCTTCAGTTCGAGATTTGAATGCTAAATATCAGGCCAAAAATGCCTTGTAGTCAGACTTAAATGCTTAGTTTCAACACCAGATGTCGCTGTCTTCACAATGTTAATTGTGTATTTTGATTTCCGTTAGAATTAAATACCACCTTCTGTTTTACTGTTTCAGAAGTGTTGTATATGTCAGAGATGCAAAACTAGGGCCTGCGGGACAAAGTTGGTGACCTTAAATTAGTTAGGCCTGCCATTCCATCAGAGAAGAAAGGGAGAATGATGGGGATGCTTTAGGTATTTTCATTTCAAATTTCGTGTAATCTTTTATTTGTTTGTTTTATTGTTAAGCTACAAAAAAGCTAACTGAAATTAAATGTTTTAATTTAAGTGCTGCAGTTTAGTTTCAAATGTACACACAACAGATAAAAGACAATGAAGAGATTGGGTGAGGAAATCAAGACAAAGGCAGATTCTGCTTGACTAGTGTATTCAGCATTGAACTTCACTGTTTTATAAATGTGTTTTTGTTTTTATTGCAATAAGTTATAATTAAAAAGTTATACTGCATTAGTTAAAACAATTCATGTTTTCTATTTATTTAGAAATTTTATGAAATAAATTAGGAAACATGGCAACTTTAATGTACTATAGGTTGGTATATTTATTTTCGGCCCACGGCTATCAATGATATTTGATTTTTGGCCCTTCATTCAAAAAAGTTTGGGCACGTGACAGCTAGAGTCATCTTAAAACACTGGAAAACTCCCAAAATTCCAGAGTTAAAAAAATGGGCCAACATAATGACTAAAACAGCCTCGTATGAACGTTTACTTTACAAATTACATAATATAGACAAAGCAGGGGTCCCTGTATGTATCCCAGTGTTGGAAGCTTTTTGGTCTTATGTGACAATGTCTTGTAATACAATTTTAAACTACTCACCAGGTTTTCCTAATAATATTGTACCTCTGTCCTAGTAACCACTGTATTCATTTTGGCTTTACATTTAGTAGGCCACAAGTGATCATTTGTAATATGTGTTTGTATTATTTTGTCATGAACCAGAAGAAAACAATAAAAAAACTTGAATTAAAAAAAAAAAAAAAGTTTGGGCACCCCTGCTATATGTCTACTAGGACTGGGCGAAATGACAAAAATCCCATTTTACTATTTAAGTCATCTCAAATCCAGTTTATATCACATTATATTGTTATACCTTTTCTAAGTAATAGTTTATATATATATATATATATATATATATATATATATATATATATATATATATATATATTTAATTGTAAGCAATATATTTGCATATAATGCCAAATATCAGCCTTTTATGTTCTAGTATTACAGTTGCATTTTTATTAACATTTCTTGCCATGTTTTAAATGGCAGCCCAATATACAGCTTAATGAATACTGTCCATAGACTACTGCATGTTGCTTTATATATATAAAAAAGTACATGAACTATTGCATGCAACCAGTATCTTATGCAGATATTACTTCCAGGTCATTCATCACACCTAAAATAAAAGGTTAAACCTTCTGCACTGCACTAACTATAGCGCATTGTACTGCACAGTTTGTCAAATGTAGTTGGTCAGCCAGATATCCATGCCCTATATATTGCAGACATAATACTAGTAGACTCAGGGATGATAGATAATCCAATCAATTTCCCTTTGGATCTCTCTGCATAGTCTTGAACATATTGTGTTTGTATCACTTCCTTGTTCTATGTGTAATTCCTGTACTCTTGCTGGTTCCTCATGTTCTGCCGAAGCTGCCAAAAGCTGTTTTTTGGCAGACACATCACACCCAAACCAGCCTACGCACAGAGCCACAAGTAAATACAGCACATGTTTGTGGTGGTACAGTGATTTTTCACTGAGGTTTATTAAGTTTTTTAAGGTCTTTGAGGAGATGCATTAACGGTGAGCTTATTATCACTACCACCAAAACTGTTATTATATAGTGTGGAGAGATGAAATTTATTAATCTCTTAATAATTCTATTATTCTAGTTGTAAATAAGCTAGCAACATATTAAAATGGAGTAAAAACATGCTTGCAATGTGTCAAAACAATGTACACATTTTAGAAATGTGTTCAAATCAACTAGCAATTTGGTGAAAACATGTAAACAATAAAACATGGTGCGAACATGCTAATGAATGATCATTAAAATATTAGCAATGTTTTGGTAATGCTACAAACATGCAAATTTTTCAGCATGTTGCTTGCAACTTGTTTTTGCAATGTAGCAATGCCTCAGAAAAGGTAACAACATGATACAGATGGTAAAATGATAGCAAAAAGAATGTTAGCATTGTTGTAATATGGGAAATGTGTTAAAATAAGCTAAAACATGCTAGCAATGTGTTAAAACCTGCTAAGTAAAATGCTAATGTGTAAAAACACTAATTACATGAGAAAGATGTTAAAACATACTAGCATTTGTACAAACATGCAAGCAACATGCTAATGTGTGGAAAAATGTAGCAATGTCTTACAACATGCTTGAAAAATATGTTAGCAATATGTTGACAATGCTACAAACATACAATGTTGTTTTAGCATGTTGCTTTCAACTTGTTTTTACAATGGAGCAATGCAACCGAAAAGGTAGCAATACAATAAACATGGTATAAATATGTTAGCACGCGTCAAAACATAGTAGAAAGAAACATGAGAAATGTGTTAAAATAAGCTAACAAATGCTAGCAATGTGCTAAAACTTAACTAAAATTTTAATGTGTAAAACACAGTAGAAATTTGTGAGAAATGTGT